CTCTGAGGAGGGCAATGTTATAATAAGTGTGCGTGTGTGTGATGTATGTCTTCCAACCCCACGTCTTTCCCCATTTTATTTATCAGCTTATGATGGTTAGTTATAGGGCATGTTTCAATTAGCATCCTTATGCTTCGCATGTTTGCATTCATTCATCTGTCTTGCATGCACCAGGCTCGGCTCATCATACTAACTGCATCGTATTTCAAATCCAAGTTGAATACATGTTACCTGTACCATCTCATATGCCATCTTAGAATAGCCGAGCCTATCTTAGTTGCATTCTTGCATGTGTTGCATTAGGCATCTCAGCATAGTTAGGATTCATGCATGTTTTCTAATTAGCTTCTTTCTTTGGCTCGGAGTACTTGGTAAGTGTTTATGCTTTAGCATCCTTGCATGCGTGTGAGTGACTGCCATGATAGCATGCTTACCATGAGGCTATGTGCTTATGTGATATAACTGCCTGAATGCCTGTGGGTGAAGGTTGGGTTGCTTGAATTGGAATAATTCGTCGAAACCCGTGTTTTAGCCTACTTGCGAGTAGCAAACCTCAAACCATTTTCCAAACAAAACGGATATGCGATGCTTTGTTCCGAATTAAGCGATCTAGTCTATACTTTTGTGTTGTGCGCATCACATAGTAAGATTAGCTAAATAACCGGAATAAAAATGTATAATGTTTTCAAAACTAGATATCATGGTTAGTAAAGGCCGATCTTTGATCGGGTGAGCGGGGGTGCTCATAGCTGACCTTCCCCAATCGTACCCAAGTTCCCGAGCCGATGTAACTTTGGTGATGACGGACACGTGGCCTTAGGCAAACGAGTCAGGGTTTCCTAAATTCTCCTATAAAAAATATTTAGGTGGCGACTCTGTATCTGGCAAAACAGTCCATGTTTGGCACTTCTTTCTAAAAATCTGTTTTTCAAAACGATTTGTCGGATTTGGACTCTTTGGTGATTTATCAATCTCATATTGCACATTGTGAGATCAGATTAAGAACTGTGACGATTTGAGTCCTAAACTATAGTGAGCCCATATGAACAAAACGAGATTCATCCTCCCGGGGCGTTTGGGGACGTCTACACCGAGCTAGGTGTAGCTCGGCCGATGCCTCCATTTCATTACTTAGATGAGGGCGTGACCGAAGTAAGTTAGTTCGGTTATGTTGCACCGGCCTAGACAAAGGGAAAAGCCATCTCACTTGGCTAGCAGTGGGTAGGGTGTTATCAGGATATGCGTTATCCTTGGGAAAGTAATTCCTAGAAGGACTTTGCTAAGGAGAGTTAGAGTTCTACTAGGATTGTGTCAGGGATTTGTGATTCCTAAGAGGACTCTTATAAAAAGAGTTGGAATCCAACTAGGATGGTGCCAGACAGAATCTATAAAAGCTCATAGTAGGACCAATGGACAGGTATCACAATTTTGACTCCTGAATTCATAGAACTTTTGTCTATTGCTTATTTGCTGACTTAGGCATCAGAGAGGTATTCGGCACACACCCGCCGGCTAACTCACGTTTGTGCTTTTAGGGAGTAAAGCGACGACGTTTGGAGGAAGCGTAAACTTGATCAACAAGATTATACGAGAAGATTATTTTGCGCTTGTACATCAAATACAGTCCATTAATATATCGGATTAAAAATATTAATATAACTTGATATTATGAATTAAAATAATTTTTTAAATCCTAAAAAAATAGGACTAAACTGAACAAACGGTGATCTAATGGGCCGATGCCCACCCTATGAACACTATCCTCCAAATCTTAGACGGAAGCAAGGTTGAAGTTTATGGCCCTGCTTAGGAATAAGATATTTTAGTTAGTGTTTTTTTGAATTTTTAGTTATTTTAACCTATTTAAAAAAATTATGTTTATAAAGACAAATGATTTTTTTTGTAGTTAATTTGATTATTATGAAAAAAAAATATATTATAATTTAAATGTAATATTTTATCTTATTAATTATTTTAACTATTTTTTTATTAACTATTTTAACTCACACCTAACTTTTCAATAGTGATATTTTGAGAAGTTAGTGAAAAGTTGACTTTTTAATTTTTTTGATTTTTTGATAACTTTTTTGACTAAAAAATTGATTTTTTTGTGTGAAAAAACTAAAAAGCTAAAAAAACAAGTTCTCAAAACACCATATATATATATATATATATAGGTTTCGTTTGGGAAGTGGGTTAGCTTTTTGGCTATTTTAGCCTGGGGCTAAAAAGCCTGATTTGGGAAGAAGGGCTTTTGGCTTTTTTGGTTTTTTGTGAGAAAATGAATGCAATGATTATGGATTAGATTTGATATTTTGTCTTATTAGGTTAAAAAACTTATTTTATTTTTTGTGACTAACCTCGTTTGGGAACAGACTATTTTAATAATTTTTTAACTTTTTAGCTAAAATATGAGGTAAAAAAACTAGCATGTTTGTGATGATTTTTTGACTTTTTACGAAAAGATGTGCAAAAAGTAAAGAGAAAATTGAATATTTAACTTTTTGATATAAGTTATTGGCTTTTTGATTTTTTTAGTAATTTTTTGACTTTTAGACTAAAACAACCATTTGCCAAACCAGGCCGCCAAAAAAAAACATGAGGATTGGCTTCCCAAACAGAGGTGTCGTTTGACAATGACTTTTTTAGTTAGTTTTTTGACTTTTTTGATTTTTTTATCCTGAGACTTTTTTAGTCATTTGATATTCTTGTTTGGCTTTTTTAACTTTTTAACTTTGGAATGACAAAATTATCCTTAGGTCTCATTTGGGAACCCTCCATTTTAGTCAAAAAGTTACTAATTAGCCAAAAAATCAACAACCCATGCCAAAAATTCAAAGATTCTCTTTTCTCTCTACTTTTTGCACATCTTATCGTAAAAAGTCAAAAAATTATCTCAAATATACTAATTTTTTTTAGCTCACATTTTAACCAAATAGTTAAAAAATTACTAAATTAACTTATTCCCAAACGAGACCTTAATATAAAATGATGTTTTTTAACTTTTTATTTATATATAGGGTAGTTTGATACTTTTATAATTTTTTTTTTTTTTATAACTTTATAAATTATTTTTTGTCTTATATGATTATACAGCCTAGCAAGAATGTCAAAGCAAGCCTTATTATATCAGAGAGAGAGAGAGAGAGAGAGATGGCTGAGTACTGTATAACAGGGGGTACAGGGTTCATAGCAGCTTACCTAGTGAAGTCCCTGCTCGAAAAAGGTCACTTCGTCCGGGCAACCGTTCGAGATCCAGGTACTCTCTTGGACTTTGTGACTGTTGTTTTTCTAGTTACTCTGTTCTGTCTGTATCAAAGATTTGCTTTTAAAACATCTTGGGTGAAGTTTTGTCACTTATGTTCGTTTGGTTTCCAGAAATTGTTTCGCAAAAGTTTTCAAAAAAATTAAAAATTAATTTCATGAAAAAAATTTAAAAAAAACAAAAGAAGTCAAAAGTACTTGTAATTTTTATGTAGTTTTATCATTTTGGAAGGCAAAAATAATTTTTAAAATTTTATTTTGATGTTTATTTTTGTCAAACTAATTTTTATTTTTTTAAAAAAATTTCAGAAAATTGTTTCAAAACTCAAACCAAACATATTTCTGTAATAGTGTACTCTGTTATGTATAGTACAGGTGAAAATTGTAATTTCTTTTTGTAATTAATTACACTTCTTTTTCCTGATTCACAATTTCATCATTATTTTTCTACTATGATTATCAAATTGACTATCTCTCTTAGGGGCTATAAATGTTCCTAATTACTTTAATCTTCTAAAGCTTTATTCGATTCCAGAGAAGTAAGAGATAACATTAGCTGCACTTGTAATTTGAAAATAATTTGAGGAGCTGGTGAGATCATCCACCACTTGTCCCATTTTAATAATTCGCGCTATTCATTTTGTAGGACTCTCAATGTGTATCATCAATGGAAAAAATTACGTTAATTCGATAATTGTAATATTAATATGACATCTCTCGTCTATGAAAATAAAATTAAAAAAATTGGCGTAGCACCTATCAATTTAATAAATTGGGTCCCCGTTTCATATTTCAAAATTTAACTACAAAATGCTACATTAGTTTATAGGAAAATTTATAGAAACAAAAATTGTTTTTGCATAACATTTTTCTTATCATATTTTAGCCTTTAATTTAATTAGAATAAAACTCCTGCTCCAATTTGTTGGGTTTGGTCATTGAAAGTGATAGTCTTGAATATATCTAGCTGCCAACGTGGTTTGATCCAAAGAAGACAGTTTTTTTGTTTTTTGTTTTTCCTCTTGCAAGATAGCGGTTAGTAATGGTCAACATGTCTTCATAGTCTTGAACTTGAAATTTCACCAACCTTGACACCTTTGCATGATCGCTTGGGTAATTTCCCATGGTCCAAAGCAGACGCGTAAAAAATTGTGAAATGTCAAATGAGGGGTAAAAAGGTAAAAGCACCTACAATATTAACAGTGTCTTAACAGGAGGTAACTTAGGGGAGATAAGTGTCATTTTAAAAACCTGAAGGGGGAGTGTCTGCAATTATCATAAACCTCAGGGGAGATCAGTGTAATTTATCCAAATTTAATTTATAGCTTAGCTCCGCAACTACTACAACTCAACTGCCTATTTCTTTTGTTGACAGAAAATGTGGAAAAGGTTGGGTTCCTTTGGGAGCTGAGTGGAGCAAAGGAGAGGCTAAAGATTTTCAAAGCTGATCTGATGGTGGAAGGAAGCTTCGACAAAGCGATAGAGGGTGTTGATGGGGTCTTCCATACTGCATCTCCTGTATTCGCCACAGATGATCATAATGTTCAGGCAAAGTTTTCTTAAAATACCACTAATTCACACACTCCAATGTTTATGGAATATTGGTGAAGTATTTATTCTCAAAAACTTACCTGAATGCCCTCCTCATGCTGTTAACTATGTTTGAAAAGTCAAAGAAATGGAGGGCAAATTAGTTCTAAGTTGGTACTTGTTCAGGACATTCAAAATTTGATTCATATGTTTTGGTGGTTATATTGCAGGAAACATTGATTGATCCAACTATAAAGGGCACCCTGAATGTGCTGAGCTCCTGCACAAAAGCAAGCAGTGTGAAGAGGGTTGTGCTCACCTCTTCCTGCTCTGCAGTAAGGTACCGCGATGATGTCCAGCAAGTTTCTCCTCTTGATGAATCTCACTGGAGTGATCTGGAGTACTGCAAGCGCTACAATGTAAATTACACTCTGACCTACTTATCTATGACTTAAAACATCACATATATTTGTGCACGCGCATGCCCCATTTATTTTTGGTAGAAAATATCTTCTTTGATAAATGTTTTAACTTGCTGTTTTTATTTTTGTATTAATTGAGTTAGAAGAATCCATTGGATGAATGTCTTTGCATTCTCTCGTGATTTAGCTCACTGTTTTTATGTAAGTGTTGTTAGGAAAAATTTATGATTCCCCACAAGCAAATCAATTAATGGGAATAAAAACTAATGCGGAAAAATTAAATCAAAAAGCAACACAAGAACTTTTACGTAGTTCTCTCAATGTGAGGTACGTCTACAGGATCGAAATTCTATTCCACTATCAACCAAATAAGTTCCAAACGAGACACTAATGGTCTCACAAAAACCACCCTTAGGTGAATTCCAAATAATCACAAATAAACAAGAGGAAAGACCTCACCAAATAGATGAACCAAAATCTTCAGAATCAGAGTTGAAGAAGACCAAAAAAACGAACCCAAATCAACTTCACCAAAACACCTAGCCGAAGATGCACCGAAACACTCCCACCGAATTGATTGATTTCAAATTGTTCTGTATTAGCCGCAGCACCTCTTCAAAAAGAACTAAACAATATATATATTATATATGAAATTGATAGGCAAGCACTCTTTTTCCCAGAAATTCACTGCAGCCGCTGCGTGTGCTTCGGAGAAGGTGAAGAACAAACAATATATATATTAGTTATAATATATATGTTGTGAATTTTGGGTTTTTGTAATTAAACCTTAATTGTATCTAAATTGATTTGAGTCTTCACAAAATTAGATATAATATATAAAAATATATTATATCTAAACCAAACCAAATTAAAAATCTTTTTCTAAAATCAATTGGATCCCACACTCCAATAAGGAGTATACCCAACACACCACACAATAAAAAATTCAAGATCACTCTAAAGAACAATAGAGTGAAATTCTTGCATGCATTTCACCACTCAAATCAAAACAATAACATAAATAGAGTTGAATTAATCTTAGAATGAATTTCAAGAAAGAGAAAAGAAAAACCCAAATGCTGATAAAGAAAATAGGACTGTATTGAAGCTCTGACCTGTCCAGTAACCAAGACAACAGGGTCACCCATAATCTCTCTGGAAATTGGACACTTGAATTTTTCAGGAACAGCTATATAAGAAGCTGGTACCTTGCATTTCAATTCTTTCGAAGAAGATACGAATCTTATGGCCTCATTAGTCATCTCTATCTCCTTAACTTTGAGTTATTTCAAAGAAGATAGGATTCTTATAGCCTCATCAGTTGGTTTTGTGTCGTAATCATCTTCATCAATAATGGGCTTTATCTGTCTCTCCAATTCTTTCTTTAACTCCGTGGCATTTTCTGCCTTGGGTGAACCAGTGTCCGAGTCTTCTGGGTTTTCCATGAAAGCAAATCTTGAAACAGAGAACTATAATCGAAGAAGAAGAAGAAAGTGTTAACATATAATATCTACTACACCCCACTACCTGTAAAGGCACATATAATATATATATATACACCCCACTACCTGTAAAGGCCACAATGTATACCTGTAATGTAGCTGTAAAGCCGGAGACTTTCACTTTAGCTTTAGCCTATCTCAATGTAATCACCATGCATCCGATTCCATTTGTCTCCCTCTCCTCTCTATAAAGAGAGGGAGCTCACTCTCTTGTAAGACACAGAAACATAATACAACAACACCAATTCTTCAGTTCAGTCTCTCTATTCTATCCCTCCTTACAAATCTATCAAGCCAAATAGCTAATCTAATAATAATTGACTCCTGCAACTCCTCCATATCTAGTTGAACATTATTGAACAAGCAATCATTCCGATGTTTCCAAATGGACCAGAGAGCAACCAAAGGGATAGCTTTCTATATCCTCCTTTCAACTTTCATGAGGCAGTTCCCAGCCCACCAATGCAATAAGCAGTCAACAGAACCAGATGTAACCCATATTATTCCCTACAACTGCAATAGGCCAGTCCAGACCTTCCAAACCATGGGGTAAGAAATGAGAACATGTTCGACAAATTCTGCCTTAGATTTACAAAAAACACACAGAGTGGATGCTCCCTCACCCAGAACTCCAACCTTTGAAGGAAAACAGAAGTTTTAAGTTTATGTTTCCAAGCTAACCACCCAAAAAAATTGAACTTTGGAAGGGAGGTAATTAATCCACACCAATCTACTAGAACTCTCAAATACACCAAAACCCAATTCATAGTGCCTATAAAGAGATGCAACAAAGGACTGACCTGTTTGGCATGGAAGCCACCTTGGTTTATCTTTTTCACACGAACAAAGTGCAAGTGCTGCTCTTAACACTTCAGTGAGTCTGGATACCTCCTCACCCTCCCACTGTAGCAAAGGCCTTCTTAAACTGAGATCCCACATCTCAGAGCTTCCTTTGTTATCAGCAAGGAACTTGAGGCAACCATTCTTAAGTGGACAAAGGATAAAGTCTAGAGAAACCCTCTTTTAGACAAAAGTCACCACACCATTTATCCTGCCAAAATCTCACTCTGCTCCCATTACCCACTTTAATATGAAGATTGTCAATAGAAAATTGTAGAAGGGTGTTTCTTTTCTCATTGTGTTTTGTGATGAATACATTTCGTTTTGTGTCCTTATAGGAACCTTAGAAAATTGAAGTATGTAAAGAATTTTCATGGCTTTGATCTACACTTCAAGAGGCATTGTAAAGAGGGAAAGCTACCAAACTATGTGGTAGTTGAACAAAGGTACTTTGACTTGAAAATATTGCCAGGGAATGATGATCACCCTTCTCATGATGTCTTTGAGGGCCAGAAATTTGTTAAGGAAGTGTATGAAGCACTTAGATCAAGTCCCCAATGGAATGAAATGTTGTTCATCATCACCGATATAGCGGTCGCCGAAAAGCCCGAGTGACCGATTTCCTCCTTGAAGACGCACCTGAACCGGACCCAACCCTGCCCGAGATACGACATGTTCCACTGACTGCAGAAGAAGAGATGGCAAAGAAAAGCAGAGTTAGGGCCCTTCTGACCGAAACAACTAGGCCCGAGGTAACACCACCCAGCCAATCGTAACCTGCTGTTGTAGCCCTCCCTTCTCAACAGCCATCCTCTTCTCGCCGAATTAAGCGCGCCCAGACTGCCGAGACCGAACAAGTATTGGTTGATGAAGTAGAACCCGTACTTCCGCCGAGCTTGCCACCGAGCCCCCAACTGGTTCCTTCTGACCGAACTACCGACCGCTGGGACCCAAAACTTACCTTTAACGACCGAGACATCCGAAATACAGATTCGGTCGTTGCTGAAAAAGACCATTTATTGGCCCTCAATCTGGCCAAGGGTGTGTGCCTCCCTAAAGACATGGAGCATCGCCAGAAACAACTGAATACCGAGCTAAAGGACATCCGGTCAACGACAAAATCCATGATTCTGGTAGGCAACTTCGGTCGTTTTGCTGTCTACTTTCTTTCTTAAACTTCTACTTCGGTTTTAAAGGGAAATCTTTGCTTTGTCAGGCGCTTCAAAAAAACCAAATTACTCACAAGAAAGTGCTTGAGCTTAGGAAAATAACAAGGCAAGCGGCGGCGGAGGCCGAAGCAAAAACGACCGAGCTAGAGGAGGCCCGAAAGCAGATGGCCGAGCTACGCGGGGAGGTCGGCAGGCTGACCGGACTGGTTAATTCGGCGGAAGCCGAAAAGCAAAAGACTGCCATTGCTCTGAAGGATAAATACCTGCGCGAGCTGGTGAAGCTTGAAAGAAAGAAAGATGCCGAAATGAAGGAGAGGGCAAAGGAAGCTGACAAACAAGGCTTCAAGAGGGCAGAGGATGCTTATGCCCAACAATGCAATGCTGCCAAGGAGCTGTTCTTTAAGTGCGGCTGGAGGGGAGCCGTTGAGAAGCTCGGTCATGATCCTCAGACCGAGGTTTTCAACCCTCCAGCCTACTTTATACCAAACTCCCTGATGGAATACGCTAATGCCATGCAACAGCAATTTCTCGAGGACTCAGACTTAGATGAAGACTCTGCCCCTGAGGATACTTCGGTCGTGAATGTAGATCCGGTAGTTCGGTCGGAGCCCATGGTGGAAGATCTAACTATTGATCAACCAAGTGAAACCGTGGTTCCGGCCGAAACCACTCTTCCGACTGAAAACGTCCTTGCGCCCGAAACCGGTCTTCAGGTTGCTGCCGATGCTGCCTTTGACGCCGAGATCGAAGATCTTTTTTCTTGATTTTTTCTCTTTGTTTGTTATCTTTTCTTTGTAACCGGGTTATGCCCCTTCCCTTGTAATGGTTTTGCAATGAATGAAAAATTTTGCTAGAACTCTTATTCCGGTTTTAGTTTGTATGCTTGCCTTTGTAATGCTCTCTATTACTCCAACTGCTATTTCGGTTTTCTCTTGTTAGACTATGCTTACCAGCCAACCACTCCTTAGCCGACATAATTACTTCGGCTGAGGAGTACACATAGTTTGGTTTTTTCCAATCAACCACTCTTCAGCCATACCCTTACTTCGGCACTCAGACTCAGATGAAGACTCTGCCCCTGAGGATACTCCGGTCGTGAATGTAGATCCGGTAGTTCGGTCGGAGCCCATGGTGGAAGATCTAACTATTGATCAACCAAGTGAAACCGTGGTTCCGGCCGAAACCACTCTTCCGACTGAAAACGTCCTTGCGCCCGAAACCGGTCTTCAGGTTGCTGCCGATGCTGCCTTTGACGCCGAGATCGAAGATCTTTTTTCTTGATTTTTTCTCTTTGTTTGTTATCTTTTCTTTGTAACCGGGTTATGCCCCTTCCCTTGTAATGGTTTTGCAATGAATGAAAAATTTTGCTAGAACTCTTATTCCGGTTTTAGTTTGTATGCTTGCCTTTGTAATGCTCTCTATTACTCCAACTGCTATTTCGGTTTTCTCTTGTTAGACTATGCTTACCAGCCAACCACTCCTTAGCCGACATAATTACTTCGGCTGAGGAGTACACATAGTTTGGTTTTTTCCAATC